TGTGAGAGCATCCGGCCCCCCAGTGTTTCCACATCGTCGAATCCGGCCCCCTTTAGGAAAAGTTTGGACACCCCTGCATTACACATATACATTCATATCGACCATAAAATTTGCTGTCAATCAGTGTGCATTTACAGTTGCAGTGTATGATAATTATATATTGAGTAAATAATAAATTCAAAAAAATAATATATTTTGTCCTGCGAAGTGACTGAATTTAAAAAAAAAGTTCAATTCAATATTTTGCCCACTGCATGACTCTCATCTATGTTTTGAACACTTCTGTTCAAACGTGGGATAAGTTCATTTTTTTAATAGATAATAGTACTTTAAGCAAGGAAGCATAACATTTATCAAAAGTGACAGAACAGATATTGTTACAAAAGATTTCTATTTCAAACAAATGCTGTTCTTTTGAACTTTCAATTCTTCAAAGAATCCTGAAAAAAAAAGATCACGGTTTCCACAAAAATATTAAGCAGCACAAATGTTTTCAACACTGATCATAAGAATCTTGAGCACCAAATCGGCATATCTGAATAATTTCTGAAGGATCATGTGACACTGAAGACTGCAGTAATGGCTTCTGATAATTCAGCTTTGGCATCACAGGAATACATTTTACAATTTATTTGAAATTATAATAATATTGCACAATATTAATTGTATTTTTGACCAAATAAATGCAGCCCTGGTAAGCGTAAGAAAAAAAAAATGTTCCGAGCCCCAACTTTTGAACTATAGTGTTAGAATCATTTGAAAAATATCATAACACATCAAATCAATTATTCCCCCACCCCTGCTTTCTGTGCACACTTACAAAGTCTTGCCGGATATCATTGAAGTCTTTGCCGTACTTCTCCAGCGCCTCCTCAAACAGGTTTGCCTCTGATGAGCTCCACTCCTCCATCTCATCCCGGCACAGCACAGGCCCTCCTTGAGGAACGAGCACGCTCAAAGCACTGGAGAGGTCATAGCCGTGCCGGTGCAGGGTGTCCATGGCATGGAACTTAAGAGAGCGAGATAGACAGATAGGTAGAGGATTAATCAGGTTTTTTCTTTTTAACATCTCCACTGGATATATGGAGCGAGACAGATGGTGCTGATGGGATGGGTACCAGTGTGATGTCTCGTGAGGCTGCCGCGGCGCTCATGTGTAAGCTGGGCTGTCTGACGGAGCTGCTGCAGTCCAACGCTCGAGCAAAAGTACCAATCGCTCTGCACACAGATCACCAGATTCATCATGCAAATTTAATTATGCCATCAGTTTGACAGTTTCCAGTGTCTTCTACAGCAGTGGTTCTCAAATGGCAGGTCACAACCCAAAAACAGATCACAGGTTTGTTCTGATGGGGTCATGGAGAGCAGGGGGGAAAAAATATGCAATTGTTTGGTGCAAATTTATCTGTAACAGCTAGGTACCGATACAGATTTCCTGATTTGATCGGATTCCAGTTCATAAGCTTTCAAGTCAATTAAATTGGGTATATTTAAAATATAATGTCCCTTTTGCTATAAACAATCAATATTTGGATCACAATGTGTTTTGTGCAGAGACTTATTGGCTGGCAAAGGCATGAAACCATTGAAACTCAAAAGATATTCAGAAACCAAATAAACTGTAGAGACAAGTCAGCTGGGGTTTTTTATTTAAAAAAAAAAAAAAAAATCAATATATAGTTCATGGTAATATTAATCAAATTTCAGTGTTTGACACGTGCATTTACTTCTCCAGAATTCTGTCCAATGTATAATCTTCTCCCTGAAGCATAACAGTTAAAAATCACAGTTTTAAAGTATACTAAAATGCATGTTTGATTTTTTAATAAGGCATAGCTAAAATCTTGAAAGCATCAAAAACATACCGAGCAATCACAAGAAACTGGTCAATCTGTTTGTTGGTCAGCGGACACTCTGGGTCCCATATCTTCATCTCCAGTTTGGACTGGTCTCTGTCATCAGGTTCTCCTACAGAGAAAATTTCTTTCATCAGAGCTGGCTGTGTAAGACCAGAGGGTAAAATCTACCATCGACAATTCTTTCAAGACAACCTAGGCAACTTGTTCCCGTGGCAACGATGGGAATTAACACGTAAATCAAACCTGGCGTTAGGTAATGATGGAAGACAGCCTGCTTAGCAAGATCATGAAGGATTATGTATTGTAGGTATCATCATCATCAGCCCACCAGCCTGTCATTCGAATGAAGAGCAGAGCATTTAATCCTGCATTGTGTAAATGCTGAACTATCAGTCGCTTTTGGATGTAAAAGTATGCTAAATGAGAAGGTCCGAATGCGTAGATTCAGATCAAATCTCCTTCCTTACAGTATAGCTATCATTTAAAAAGTTAGTACTTTGTATCCATCTTGTCAATGTAGATGGAAAAGTTTCATATCTTCTAAAAGCAGGACGTGTCTAAATCTAGAACTGAAAAATGCTTCCCTCACAGACTGTCACTGGCCTCTCATTACAGATAATGGGAGATGTTGACTGGACATTTTCGTAAGTGTGTGAGAGAGGAGCAGGATCACAGACTTTCAGTCATATTGGGGTCACAGGCTGACAGAAGAGCAATTTCACACTTGACTGGTGAACTTGGCGATACTGTAAATGTGCAGTTTTCCTTGTGATGCACCAGTGCTCATGATCCAAACTCAAAGTAAAATTGAGACACTGCAACTAAGCTAGCCAACCCCATGAGACTACTATTTCCAGAGCAAACAAACTTTACAGCTCAAACACAAAATAAATCACCTCCCAGCCTCCAAACATAAAGATACCTTACAAATAAAGCCACAAGCCTCATTTGAACTCAATATGAAGTCTTGTCTAAAGGCCCCAACACAACAAACCAACATCAAAGAACTAGGGGTGTCGAAAGCCGCCTGTGGTGTCGCATCATGTCTCCTGCATACTGGCCAAAATTCTGCATCTGCGTGAAAAAAAAAAAAAAAAACTCTCTATACCAGCAGGTAACAGTAGTTCGGTTTTCTTGTGAACCCTTTTGTTAAGCTGACCAGCACATTCAACATGCTAAATCAGCCAAAGAACCACCAACGGGGATCTGACTAGTTCCTACAGTGCAGATCAAACCGCAAAAACTAGAGTAACAAACGTTAAAAGATGCTGATTAAAAGAGTACAAAAAATGTTATGTGTGGGGAAACATCTTGTCACAAGATTCTTAGTAGCACGAAGAACAAAACTATTAATAACAATGGGAATAATATAGAAAGTGAGAAAAAGAACATCCCCATCACTGAAGCGGTCAATGACTACAGTCTAGCACAAGGTCACTGTGTTATGTACAAAAAAATCCCATTATAATCACTGAAGAGGTCTACACTGGGAAACAGTGTTGTAATTAGTGGTCGACCGATATTGGTTTTTTGACAGCTGATGCTGATGCCGGTATCTAAGAGAGCAGGGTGGCCGATGGCCAAAATAAAGCCGATATATATCATTTTTATTTATTCTAAATAATATTTAAGAAATTTTAAATAATTTGAAAATGATAAATGTGTAAAATAAACATACTTATACATTAGATGACAACTACTTGATTCTGTAATCTTATTACAGTATTTTTCACAAATAAAGAAATATCTAAAAATACATAAATAAAAAGGAAGTAAACACTGTAACCAACAGGGCACTCAGTAATCTGGGAAGTTTGTGTGCATTGGGAATCATATCTGCCTGAAGAGCTCAGAGACAGAATTGTGGCAAGGCACAGATCTGGCCAAGGTTACAAAAAAATTTCTGCTGCACTTAAGGTTCCTAAGAGCACAGTGGCCTCCATAATCCTTAAATGGAAGACGTTTGGGACGACCAGAACCCTTCCTAGAGCTGGCCGTCCGGCCAAACTGATGGTGAGAAATAAGATTCTCTGGTTTGATGAGACCAAGATAGAACTTTTTGTCCTTAATTCTAAGCGGTATGTGTGGAGAAAACGAGGCACTGCTCATCACCTGTCCAATACAGTCCCAGCAGTGAAGCATGGTGGTGGCAGCATCATGCTTTGGGGGTGTTTTTCAGCTGCAGGGACAGGATGACTGGTTGCAATCGAGGGAAAGATGAATGCGGCCAAGTACAGGGATATCCTGGACGAAAACCTTCTCCAGAGTGCTCAGGACCTCAGACTGGGCCGAAGGTTTACCTTCCAACAAGACAATGACCCTAAGCACACAGCTAAAATAACGAAGGAGTGGCTTCACAACAACTCTGTGACTGTTCTTGAATGGCCCAGCCAGAGCCCTGACTTAAACCCAATTGAGCGTCTCTGGAGAGACCTAAAAATGGCTGTCCATCAACGTTTACCATCCAACCTGACAGAACTGGAGAGGATCTGCAAGGAGGAATGGCAGAGGATCCCCAAATCCAGGTGTGAAAAACTTGTTGCATCTTTCCCAAAAAGACTCATGGCTGTATTAGATCAAAAGGGTGCTTCTACTAAATACTGAGCAAAGGGTCTGAATACTTAGGACCATGTGATATTTCAGTTTTTCTTTTTTAATAAATCTGCAAAAATGTCAACAATTCTGTGTTTTTCTGTCAATATGGGGTGCTGTGTGTACATTAATGAGGAAAAAAAAATAATGTAAAATATAAAAATAAAACTTAAATGATTTTAGCAAATGGCTGCAATATAACAAAGAGTGAAAAATTGAAGGGGGTCTGAATACTTTCCGTACCCACTGTATATAAATAAAAAGGAAATAAACACTGTAACCAACAGGGCTCTCAGTAATCTAGGAAGTGTGTGTGCATTGGGATAATTTTTTTTCCAAATAATGTCAAGGTAACACTCGTTTTACGTACAGCACACATTGAAAATGACATGAACATGACAGTGGGCAAATGGATAAAGTGCAGCATAGTTTGAAATCATGAGTTTAAAATTTGTCAATCACGGGCCTCCAGTGCAGCTGAACTCTCCTTCTGTCAGCATTCAATTGGCACAGACCAAACGTCACACAGAGAACACGCGATCATGCAGGATACAAATGCACACTTTATAAGCTCTCACAGCTGGATCCAACTAAGTCTAAGGTTTGTGAAATTAAATGTTTATTAGACATTCAAAGATCTGTTTAAATGATATAAATGCATATTTTCTGAATGCTGATGGTAAAAGAGAAAGTATTATGTTTGCCTTTGTTATTACTAATAATATAAAAGCAATCATTATAATACTTTTTGTATACCTTCTAATTCCTTTGTTTAACATTCTATCTGATTAGACAGACTTCTGTCCCTATTTAAAAAACTGTTAAGCTCAGGTGCTGCCATTCTCAGCGCTGTCAAAATAAGAGTTGCGCCTCAAACACATCGGCCGATATTTGAAAAATGTAAAATATCGACCGATATATCGGCCTTGGCATTATATCGGTCATCCACTAGATGTAATGTAACAAAGTAATAATACTTCGTTACAGTACTTAAGTATTTTTTGGGGAGAATCTGTACTGTGAGTTTTTATATTTCTGCCAACTTTCACTTTTACTCCACTACATTTCCTAATGCAAAACTGCAAGAAAGCAGGTTTGACGAATCAGTGGTCTGGCGCTTGCAAGTTAGACTCCTAAAAAACAATTGCTCCCACAGTCGAGGATGATTTCATTTTCCACTCAAATCGAGGCACAATAAAATCTGCTGCAATAATATAGTAAGTGTTGTTGTAACGAAAATTTGATATCGAGTATATCACAAAAAATACACACAGAAAGTGCACTCGTATATTATCGCATATTGTAAACAGTGACTTCAACTTCTACCAAAGTCATTTGACCGGTGAGATACCTGTACTTTTACTTAAGTGTGGCTTTCAGGTACTTCATCTACAACTGGTGGGAAATGAATCTCTTGTTTACATTGTATCTGCATTTGGTTGTTTATGAGGAGAGTATCAGTGAGATTCTACAAATCAGTCACTGAGCGTGTGCTTAAAAAAAAACATGCGTTTTCAGCAGATTTCTTCATCACCAGTGACTAATCTAAATTGGCCACTGCATTCATATGCTCAACAAAAATGTGTGAGATTGGCTATAATGCTCAGCTCAAAATAAAGTTTCCGACCCTGTCTCAGAAAACCTTTTTAAATGGACTGCATAGGACTTTTCAAATTTGCTCCACCAGCCAAGCAAACCCAACTCTGACTTATTGACTTGTACTCGCATCGAACACTCAAGTTTGAGCTTTGTCACTGAGACAAAAAGAGTAGAGCTAAATATTCATAATATTTAAACTAAACTGACACCCATAATAAATAAAATACACTAACCTTCCTGTAGCATTTCAGGGACATCAGCCTGAAAGCGTGGACCAACACGAATCTCCCCCTTGTCGGCCAATAGCGTTTTCTGTGTGGGGTCGTACACCAATGAATAAAAAAATGTGTCCTGAGAGAGAAAGCGAGAGTGAATGCAGCAAACAAAAACGTACTTAAATTAGACATCTATTCAACTTAAGATTCAAAACAGCATTTAAAGTTAAAACTTGTGTACCTCTTTCTCCAAGTAGGAAAGCACAGCTTCTGTCTCGTTCAAGAGGGCCACACTGCACTTCCCCCTATTTCCACAACCCCAAAAGAAAAAAAGATAATAAATGATTAAGCACGCAGCCCCATGTGTTATGTTCAGCATCCAGCTGTCTCCACAGATCCTTACAGCACAGTAAAACGGGGTGGAAGGGGGAGACACTAGGTGCAAGATTACAGAAGAACGTGTGAGTGTGTGATGGTGACATGAGCAAAGCTGAAAAGGTGAGAAAAGAGCAGATGGGTGAGAGGACTATAATAAAATTCAGGAAATTAAAGGAGAAAGGGCACAGACAGGAAACAGATAAGAGACAGACACAGACAATGAGAAAGCGCCGAACAAAAACATTATAGAGCTATTGAAGAGTGGAAAACTGATGCTAATCACTCTGTGCTCCTCCGAATGAGCATTTAACCATGAACACTGCCACGTCTACATCCAACCTGCACTGTTAGAGAAGCGACTTTGAAACTGAAGCTAGCCAAGATACTAATTTAAAGGGCAGTGCCAGCAAACAGCACAAACAACTGTGTGAAAGTAAACAGACTAGCTTTATTACACTTTTATTTGAGCAGAATATCTCAGTAGAATTCACTACAACTTGCATGTTTACTGATGTTTTCAGCTCATCAGCACTTTTTCCATAATGTAGATAGAGTGTGCACATGGTTGCTGGGTTGGGAAGCTTTAGTAAACCACTAGGCAGAAAATGTATTGAATTTATGAAAAATTGGGGTTTTGATTAGGGGATTTAAACTCTTGAAATCTGGCAATCACAACCATGAAAGCATGTGGAGGTTTGTTACCAATGCAAGATAATGCAAATGCCAAATGTAAATTAAACATTTTTAGGATAAATAGTCAGCGGGCAAATTTTGGAGATTATTATGTTTAGTAATTTGAGAGAAGCAAAAAATGTGATCATGATTAAAATACGATTCATTGTGCAGTGTTTTTGTCCATACAAGTCAAGGGTTTTCAGTGGTTTTGTGTTCCACAAGAGAAGAGAAAACAAGTTATACAGGTTTGCAAAAAACATAAGGGTGAGTAAATTACATTTGCATTGTGAGAACTATTGCTTTAAGTAATTAAAATATATTAGCCACACTATCAGATAATAAAATGTAATTAACTACACTGAATGACAATACCTTTTTAAATTAAAAGCCTAATTATCAGACAAAAAATATTTGGTAAATTTAGTATTTATCACACTAAATACTTTGCAAAATGCAGTGCATCAACTGTCAAACATTTAAATCATTTAATTTAAATTAACTTTCTGAATGATTGACTAAAACAAATCAGACATCCCAGTGCTCTAATAGGACATTTTAGGGAAGTGGTTCTCATCCAGCGGGTTTCATATAATTTCCAGGGGGGCCCCAATAAGTCCTAATTTAAAAAAAATATATATATAGTTATATTAACAATCTCAATAAAGGTGTAGTACATTAAAAATAAAGATGACCAACATTTTTTGTTTATTTATTTAGAAGGCACCAATAAACTGCTTCTTCTTGGACAAAGTAGCTCATCACTGAAAAGGTTACTGTATTTTGAAAACAACCGAGCTATTTAAAACCCCATTTGTGATTGGTTGGAAAACAACAGAGAGTCCAGCCTAGGTGACAATAGTTTAACATTAAAAAATGACCATTGGCGAATATAATATCAGTTACTCAAATTCAGCCGGTGCATAAATCACAATTAAGACTAGGGTTGGGAATCAAAAATCGGTTCCGATTCCAGAATCGGATACTTAAGGTCAGGAATCGGATACTTGTTGTCAAATTAAAATTTCGATTCCGCCTATCGATTCCTATGGGCTTTTTTTTTTTTCTTCATCTGTGAGGGCCAGGACCTTGCTCGCTAATGTAATGCTGCGTTCACAATAGCAGCGATTTTGTCGCTGCATGTCGCCAGAGGCTGGCGATGAGGTTGCTAGTGGGTGTTCTCACTATTGGTTGCCTTGACAGCGAATCAGGTTTCTTGCCGCTAAATACAAACATTTTGGAGGCAAAAGACTAAATATAAAATAAAGACAAAGTCGCTGCTAGTGTGAACGCAGCTTTAGCGCTCCAAAGTTTGGCTACATTTGCGATCAGATGCCAAAAAAGCTAAGTATAATATCTGTGATAGCTAAACATGTTGCAAGAGAGGTGTCACCACCAACATGACAAATCACTTTAATTTAATAGATGATCGTTAAAGTTCACGAACACGATTAAAACACCAACATGATTCTACTCCTAAATTACAATGATTCATCTGTATCATTCCTCAATCTTTGACGTGTGCGATCAATGTTGTGATCACTTGTTGGATTGTCCGTGCAGAGTACGATCACACCAGTCAGTGTGATTTGAACGTTTAAATTTGTGTTCGCGCTGTCATTGACCTAAAGAGAGCAGCTGTCTGTAATGAATGAAACCGCTTCAGTCTTTTCAGCCACACAGTATCACTATTTCTGTTACAAACATTCAAATCACAGAAGTACTGGGATAAAAGTTTATAGTTCAGATATAAACTCTGATGTGTACGGTAGCAATTAAAATAGAGTAAATCACCTTTTGAAAGTAATTTGACACTTCAAATGAAGATTTGTCAATTACATTGTTACGCCAGTATGTGGGCGAATAAGGGCTGTTAAAATGTATTTGTCTTTGAATCATACAAGAGATTTGTTCAAGAACACGGATTCATCCAGCAATGAAACAAGTACATATTGTGTGAGTCATTGAATCATTTATTCATAAATTACATGTGATTTTGTTTAGTTGTCTAATGTTTTTCTACAGAATCATGAGAACCACAACTTCCATTGGGGGAAAAAAAGGGGGGAAAAAAAACACAATTTATCCAGAATCATGCCGTTCTATTTTGCACACAAACGACTCTTAAAGAGTCTTGTTTTTATGTAGCCTGTTGATTTTTGTTCATGATAATTGATAAATTGATAAAAATTCAAACAATAACCAACCCTAATTAAGACCGACTCATTTGTATGCAGAATTTAAATTGGCACATTAATTTTTCTTCTTTATTGGGAGACAGAGCTAAAAAAAATGAATAAAATTTAACTCCATCTTGACGTGTCCAGTTCCACACAAAATACATTATCCCTTGTAAAGGCCAGCTAGCCTCCTACAATGACTGCTCAATATTTATGGATCACAGAAGCCAAAAGAAAAAAATGAAACAAAGAAAGAAGAAAGGGAGTGACATTTCCTTTATTTGGAGGCCAATATCAATTTCAGTGAGCACAGCAGGCCTCTCCAAACCTCGGCACCACCACTAATGTTTCTCATAGGAGGCTTCCCTTTGATTAGAACCACTGCCACCCGGCTCCAGGCTGCTAATGCATTTATCACCTGAATCACAGCGGGTGCTACAAAAGCCCTGGGGTGCCACCGGCCAGCTAAAGAATGGATGCAGAACTGTGACTCAAAGGCTGGGGTTGTGCTGTGCTATATGGGCGCTGTTATCTTACCTTAACTGCCCTCTGAAAATGTGAACTGAGGATTAAATGGCACGTTTTGGTCTATCAGATACTTAGAAACATACGGATGTGTGGGTTTACCTGATGTGTGTGGCGGGGAGGGATTCGTACTGGCGGGAAAGGAAAAGCTCTCTGTGGCGGAGTTGATGTTTCTGTTTTTCACTGAGTTCGGGCTCTGAGGGGCTTTCCTTCTCTTCATCCAGGTCCTCTGTATGCAGGGAATTAATAATTTGTCAAAGGCATGGCCACACATACAGTATATAAATGAGAAAAACACGCATTTACTTTACAGACAGTTTGCATTAGTGGCCACATTAAAAGAGGAGACCAATCAAATCAGCCGAATGCAAATACTTTTTGCATACACAAAAGCAGATGTTAAAGATGACAGCCTTCGCTCTTATTGTCATTAGGGATGCTCCAATCATGATTTTTGCAGCCGATACTGAGTACCGATTTCTCGTCATGGTGATCGGCCGATACAGATGCCGATTCTGATGCTTCAAGCTTTAGGGGGTGGTCACACTAGACTTTGAATGTGCTACATTTTTTCGGACACCGCTGCGAATATGGGTGGGAGCAGGATATGACATCACGCGCCAAGGTTTCCCCTCAGTTATCACAACATGGATTCCGATGTGCTTGTACTGTGTCTTTTGCGACGGCGTCGAAAGCGTCTGGAAAGGAGAAGGCTGTGGGTTCACCCTATTCTACGGACTCTGAATGAGCGGGGAGAGTTCCATTTTTTAATTCAGGAGCTTCGGCTGGATGAGGATCGCCACAAGGAATACTTTCGGCTCTGTCCGGCCGATTTTGATCGGTTGCTCCGTGACCATGTTTTGCTTAAGTGTTATCTGACATAATTAAGATTTTTTTCTGACAGTTTAACTCTGAGATCTTGTCATATTTTATTACCATTTTTTTTTTTACTATAGTGAATAAACTGTAATAATGAATGAAATGTTCAAGGTGTCTGTTTTGTAATATTTACTTGATCGACACTGTTTATGTTTTGATTAAATAAAAACTAGAAATGGTAGTGGGTGTTAACCCAGCTGTCTGCTAGAATGTAGGCCTAGATATATGGATAATAAACTTATTTGTTATCTTTTATGTATTTGATGTCACAATGACATTCTTTTATATTATAGACTTCAACGTGTACCTACCCAACTCTTTTTGAAAACCGCCTAATTTGTCCGGGTTCAAAATAAAGGAATAAAACGCAGAGTTGAAATTACTTATGTGCAGACCGAAGAGTCAAAGTGAACGTTATTACGTTATTACGCAACAACACTAAAGACAAGACGTTTTCCCGCCCCATTCATCCTGAGCTGTGACGTCAAACGAATATTCCACGTATTGCGTTTTAGAACCCCTTCAAAAAATGTTTTAAAATAAAATGGTAAAATATTCGCGATGACAATAAAAACTTTATTGTATTTCTTAAGAGACAGGAGAGTTTCAAGACACTAAAAATAATAAATATGTACAATGATGTTATTATGTTTTCTCTTTTCATAAGTTCCTGTGGTGTGCAAAATTCATTTTAAAATGAATCTGAAAATATAAATATAAAATAATGAACAACATTAAGTAATTTAATAATAATAATATACTTGTGTATAGTAATTATATTGTACTCCCTCTCTCTCTCTCTCTCTATATATATATATATATACACTAGGGCTGTGCGATTTGGGGGAAAATATCAAATTGCGATTTTTTTTGACAGATATTGCGATTGCGATTTGATTTTGTTCTATTGGTTGCCATCTGCCAGATTACATCCCACTAGGGCTGCACGATAAATCGCATGCTGACAAGATGCGCGTTAAATATCGCATGCGATTTATCGTGCAGCCCTACGTCCCACCAATAGAATCCATCAAATAGACACCATTATAGTTTACATTAAAACCAAACATATTCCCATTA